TATATTAATTTATTAATTATTGTTTTCTTTTGTATTGTCTTTTGTTTATATGTTTGGTCGTGGTTGGACAATTTATAAATTCTGTTGAACTTACGATATTTTTCTTACATTTTCTCTCTTTTATTTCGTTTTCGGTTGAAAAAGAATTTATACTTTTTATGCTCATACTATACCAAAGGGGTTCCTACTATTTTCGGCGTTCCGTTCATGTGTGCCGTAATTCTTATTCACGATTTTTCTTCGTTTCTAATCGGGTTTGTTCTTTTTCTTTTCCTTTTTTTTTTTCTTTTTCCCTCTAAATTTTTCTTATTTAAATTTATATTTAAATTGAACGTAATAAAATCCTCGAATATAAAAATTAATTTATTATATAAAATACAATAATATGTTATAATAATAAAGTGGTCAAATTAATCGTTAATAATTATTAAACGAAGTTTAACTTATTTCGAAGAAAAATTCGATCCTTATAATTTATTCGTTGATATTTTTTTTTGTTAATCGAATATAATGTTTTGTTTATATTACTTATTGTCGAAAGTTCGATTGAATGTCGACAAATATTTTCTTATTTAGAATTCGTAAACGTTAGATTCCTACGGGTAAATATAAATATTTAACGGTTTCTAATTATAACTTAAGCGAATACTCTTAGATATATTATTTTTAAATTATATATATATTTATGTATATGTATGTACGTAAATTGTAATTCTTCGGAAACTCGATAGGGATCGTAGAAATTAATAGATACTCGATTTAATACTAGAATTACAAACTTATTTTTGTAACCCCTGAACTACAAACTGGGGTATATATTTACCCCAGGGGGTTTTTAGTCTTAAAAAATGTTTTAATAGCAATAATCAGACTTTTAAGTATATGAATTTTTTATTTTTTTTCATGCCAAAGAGAATGGTGAAGAGTAAATTCAATTTTACTAAAGTTTAATCGGTGAAAAATCGATTTAAATAAATGAAAGTACTGAAAAACGATCAAATCTTCATTTAACGTTTAAAAACCTGGGGTAGATATCTACCCCAGTTAGTGTAGTTTTAGGATTAAATATTATTTAACTAATTGTAAATAAAATAGAATTTAACTTCAATTATTTTTTAAGTCCGAACAAATGAACATTTGACAAAAGAAAATAAAAATAGAAAAAAAAAGATTTTAAATTTATATCCTTCACGAAATAAATATTAAAAGATGTACAATAAAAAATAATAGTAATAATAATAATAATAACAATAACATTACTAATTTCTTTGTAAACAATTTTATACGCAGTGCGTTGTACCGAATAAAATAAAAGAGATAACCTAAAAATTCTTTACTCATAATTTAATAATAAAATTCTAGAATTTTAATTCTCAGAAAAGAAAAAAATTTATAACAAACGTTGAGACTAAACACAATAATAATAATAAATAATAATATTATAAACATTTAAAATAATATCATTATAATTAATACCAATATTAAATAATATATTTACAATTTAACACACACTCTAGATTTACAGACTGTGCCACTTTGATTCATTCCAAACCTTTTTACAAAACTTAAATATTATTATTTTATAAAATATATGTGCTATGATTTTTAATATGCCGTAATGAAATATATGTAAATAATAATTCCACCCCTCTACATTCAAATAATATTTGTAAGTTTTTAACAAATAGTGAACTACAAAAACATCAGTAAATCTAGTATTTAAATAATACATTTACAATACAAAATAAATAATATTTAATATTTAAAACACATATTTTGTTTAACGTGTAGCTTATCTCTTTATCCTAGATGAAGAAACAATGCAATTTTTCGATTATCAATTAGGATTATAAAAATTTAATTGAAAAGGAATAAAACAAAAGAGATAAATGAAACCAACAACAACCAAAACAATCATAAAAACGACGACAACAATTAATGCGACACTGGAGAGTCAAATTTCGAGATGAGATTTGCAAAAATTCGAGTCTTTATTCTCGATCTTGTCCTATTCTTTGAGGATCTTCATTCTCACTTTCGTCAGGCGATATAAATATTCGTGGATGACTCTTTCCCCTTTTCACCTCCACCCATCATTCTCACTCTAACGAATTTACGTTTCCTTCTACCATCTTTCTCTCTCTCTCTCTCTCTTTCTTTCTCACCCACTGTGTTTCTTCTCTCTTTTTATCTATCTATATTTCTTTCTTTCTCTCACACGTTATAATATCTTCACCCTATTTCTCTCTTGTACGAACGATCATGGAGACAGCGAGAGTATGTTCTTTATTTTTCTTCTTTTTGTTTTTTTTTTTTACTTTTTTACCAACTACTCTCATAAGTTTCTCTTATTCGGTACGAAGAAGTTCGGTATGATGACGATCGTAAAGAGACAGGCAAGAACTTTGAATTTATTCTTCTTCTTCTTCTTCTTCTTCTTAAATTTTATTCCTTTTGATCTTATTTTTCTATTATTTATTCTTGAAAATGATTAAGAAGAAATATAATTAAAAGTTTCTTCATTTCCTTTATCTTTTTTCTTCTTCTTCTTTATTTGTTTGGTTATGGTTTCCAATTTTTTCTTCTTGCAAATGAAGAAGATACATTATTAAAATATTCTTCATTTTCTTCACTTCATTTTGTACTTTTGTTTATTTTATTTTACTTTTATTTTATTTTATTTTGTTTTTCATTTGTTTCATCTCGTTCTTATTTCTTCTTCTTCTTTTATTAATTTTTCTTTCAATTTTCTTATCATTTGTCCTACTTTTTAAACATTTTTTTTTTTTTAACTTTCTTCAATTGTTCGTCCCTCATATTCTTACTTTTATTTTATTTATTCAATTTGTCTACTATACCATTATTATTATTTTTTTCCTTTATCAACATTTTTCATCTTCACGATCGAAATGAAAGAAAAAAAACTTCGAATTAATTCATCTCAATGTTCTCATTAATCTTTCACATTTTTTATTTATCACGATAAATCTTCATCGATCATAATTTTTCATTTTCAAAAAATCCAAATGATCTCCCGCAACGCGTATCTTTGTTTCTTGATTTTTCGTTTAAACTTTTTTTTTTTTTAAATCAGCATACCCCATTGTTTTATTCTTCCCCATCCACGTTTCTATTCTTTACAAATTTTTCTAGAATCGGATATAAAGGGCAAAGGTACACGAGGGGGGCGGGGTGTGGGAGGGGGAGGGTGTAGGGGACTGTTGGATGGCGTTGAAATCCAGGAGGCAGAAAAAGAAAAAAACAATGAAAAGGAAAGATAAAACAATAGAAAGAAAAGAAAATGAAACAAAAGAAGACTCAAAAGAAAAAAAAAAGAAAAAGATGAGAATGGAATAAATTGAAATAAAATAAAGAATGGAAATTAAATTGACGCGAAAGAAAAGCTTGAGAAAATAACCAATAGAAAAATTGATTTAGGAGTGGGGGGCAGGTAAATTAAACGTTGCATAGGGGTTGATTGGTTGATTCTAACTTAACCTAGTTAAACAAACGAAAAGATAACGAAAATTAAAAGAAAAACAAAGAAGAAAAAAAAAAAAGAAAAATGGAAAATGAAACAAGTAAGTAAAGAAGGAAAGATAGAAAGATGATATGAAAAAAAAAAAAAAATAAAAAAAAATAAAAAGGAAACGAAGGAAAATAAAAAAAAAAGATGCATAGAGAAAAAGAAAGACAGCATGAAAGACGAAGAAGAAGAAGATATAATAGGAAGTGGGAGAAGAAGAGTGAAGGGAAATGGAGGCGGAGTTCTTCGAGTATATACGTCATGAAGAAATCCTCCCAAAGTTTCTCCTCCACCATCAGAGAACTCTAAGCTTTCGTTCGAAACGAATCGTATATGTGCGGAACCCTTGACCGACAGTTAGTTCAAAATTATTCTAAATTAATGAATAATTATTAATAATTAAATTAACGTGTGATATAAATGTGTTTTAACGAGTGGTAATAATCAATTACATAAGTTTTACACAATATATATTTTTATATATATATATATATGTATGTATATATATTTATATATATATATGTATATGATATTTATTTATTATTTATTTAAATTAATCGTTAAAATTATTAGAACTATTTTGAATCAAATATTTATAATATTTATATACATATGTATATATATATATATATATGTATGTGTTTTTTTTTATTAAAAAGTAATTCCTTTATATAATCGTTTTTTTTTCTTGTTATTCGACGTTAGTGAAAAATATTGTTACAAGGAAACAATGCAAGCCAGATTAACGGGTCAGACTAACAGATATCAGAATCATTATATCGTGGATAGTAACGATAGTTCCGGTATTCCGCAGAGCGACGGAAGTTCAATAAGCGATTCTCCGCACCCCTGCGAACCTTTATCACCGGCTACACGCTTGATGGATCATAGTAATGCGCCGGAACATCACGATGTGACTACTTTTCAACACCATCAGCAGCATCATCAACAGCAGCATCATCATCACCAACAGCATCAACATCATCTTCAACAACAGCCACATCAACATCAGATTCATCCTATTCATTCTCAACTAGATCTACGTACATTTATTCATCACAATAATAATAACAGTAATAATAATAATAATAATAATAATAATAGTAGTAATAATAATAATAATAATAGTAATAATAATAGTAACGACAGTAATAACAACAATAATAATAATATTCAATCCGTTTATCAATCACCAACTTCAAATTTTATGATTTATGATAATCCGGAAGAATACAAAAGATATCCGCAAGAACATCAAAGTGTTAAAAGTGTATTGGAACATCCGTCGTCAATTGTTTACGACAGAAGATTGAATTCACCGGCATTTATTTCGGAACAAAACAGAGAACAGGAGGCTAATATTTTTCTGCCACCATCGCCTGGTCAAATTTGTACGAGAATAGTTGGACACCCTAGTTCGGTGCTTTGGAATTCTGTACAGGATTATAAAACTGAGATTGACAATCAACGTGAACAACATCAACAACATCAACAACATCAACATCAACAACTTCATCATCAACAACAACAACAATTTCATCAACAACCACAACCACAACCCCAACCCCAACCACAACAGGGTTACAAACAAATAATAATCGAACAAGATCAACCCCCTGAATCAACTAATAAAAATTTTGTTAATTCTCGGATCGGTGTTAAAAAAAAAAGAAAACCTGTTGTAAGCGAGGATTCCGAGACGGAACATGCCACGTCGTCCTCGGGAAAAATGAAATTACGTCGTAAGAGTGGTGCCACTATTGAGGAAATACAAAATCAAAGAGTTATGGCTAATGTACGTGAACGTCAAAGAACTCAAAGTCTTAACGAAGCATTTGCTGCATTAAGAAAAATCATTCCAACATTGCCCAGTGACAAATTATCTAAAATACAAACGTTGAAACTTGCCACAAGGTACATCGATTTCCTGTATCAAGTTCTTCATTCTAATATACAATATAGTGCTGAAGATTCCGGTAAGGATAACCGAGTTATGGGTATAAGAGTTCAATGTGTACAAGAGATACCTAGATTATTTTATAACTTGGTACTTAACAATCCAAATGATTATGTTACGTAACACGGTGCATGAATTATGCTACTAACATCATTCATCCCCGTTTTATGCTTATCCCATAACACGACATTCTAAGAAGATTCTTTTTTCTTGTTTGTTTTCGAATTATAAGAATTTTTCAATTGTAATATTCTTTTGTTTAAATTCTTAATGGGTTTTTGTTTGAAAATGATAAACTAATTATTTGGAATTGGTCTTTTTTTTTTCTACAAGAATTTCGATACAATAAAATGATCTTCTGAGAATATCAATGGTTTTTTGTAATAACCTTTTTTTATTGGGTTAATATAGTTGTGGTGTAACCATAGTAGAATGGTGTAGTTTTATTTCAGACCAAAATTTTCCTAAAACTGAATTAACACATTTCTTAAATTCTCATATAACATTAATGGTTTGGTAATAATTTTTTGGTTTGGTTAATATAGTTATGATATAACTAAAAAAACAAAAAGAAAAATACTTTTTTGTTAAGATAGGTATATAATGTACATAGTATAATATAACATAGTAGAATGATTGTAGTCCCAATATAGTTTAACAAATAAATTTTGTTAATTCTCAGGGAATATCAATAGGGTTTTTGTAATAACTTTTTCTTTGAGTTAATATAATTATGGTATAACATAATATAACATTCTATAGTAGAATGATTGTGATATTTTAACTTAATTGATATATCGAAAATCCTTATATGGTATTTTATTGTATTACATTATTTCATTTATATTTTTTTTTACTTAATTTGTATATTTCTCATTTAATCAAAGTAATAAATTTATGCAAGCCTAATAAGTATTCATATAACTGTTTTGTTTACACCTTACATATGATTTTCATTAAACACAATGCACAAAAATTGTGCAGACAATTGTGTTTTTTAGGACACTTTTTCTAATGACACAATTTAGACAAACCTTTATACTTTACATTTCTTTTTATAATACTTTTTTATTTCACTGAATGCAATTTTTAATAACACCATCTTTAAAAACTTATAATCCCACAATCCAATTTTTATATAATACAAGAAAAAACAACTAATTTGAATTAAATTTCAGCCCTATAACCATCAATTTTCTTATATATTACATTGTTACTTTTTTAAATATATTTTTTATTTTATTTTACTTTTGCTTTTTTTAATACAATACAAAACCTAATTAATATATCATTCCACTTGTATTTACTAACACTACTTAAAAATTCAAACAATTCTCAATTCGTATATGTTTTTATTTTTATAACTATAGTTTGCTTTGCATAATCCAATTATTAACAAAACACGATGACAAATATTGTTTGCAAATAATCCAATTAGACAATATTAATAAAATTAAATTTATATAGCATGATTTTGTAAATATTAATAACCCTAATACGGTATCAATGTTGTAACCTTGATTTTTTATTAATCTTAATAATCTTAAAAATAATTCTTTCCTACCATCACATACACACACACTCTTTTCAACCCCTTTCTTCCCCTTTCATCTTTTTTAGTCATGTTTTTAAATGTAAATCATTGAAAATTTTCTTTCCATAGGAATAAATTAATCAGACTAACACATCTCAACATTTTTTTTCAAATCTTATGGTTTGTTTGTAATTTAGAATTAAAGAAAAAATTCAGAATGTAGTTTATTGAATATATACATGTATGTATACTAAATTCTGAGTTAAAACTTCATCACTTTAGGATAATTTATTTAGATGAAGATTCTATACAGAAGCTTATGTTTACGGGAACGACTATAGTGTTTATTTACGGGATAGCCTAATTAAACAGTCAGAGTGCTTGAAGTCCTGTAATTTACGGGCTTCTGTAAAACACTGAGAAACGGGTTCTCATTCTCTAATGGGGGGAAAACACTTAAATAACTTCATTCGTTTCCAAACTTTCTATTTTCTCATTCTAAATTTTACAATAAATTTTCTTGTTTTACATTAAAAAAAAAAAAAATACAGAAAAATATTTTCTCGTTCAAACGTTTGATCAAATTTTCAAAGAAAGTTTCATAGATATAATTGTGTCATAGTAATATTTAGTTTTGTAATAAGTATTGTTACTATTGTCCATTATTAATATGTTAGAAATGTTTATAAAAATAATATTTAGTTATACATTAACTTTCAATTTATATTCATAATTCTAAACAATTATTATTTAAAATAACAAACTCTAATATATTAGATAACAATTTTTCAAATAAATTGAAACTTACAATTAGTAGAATTACATTAAATATTTTTCTTCTCTCCACCTATCTTTCTTTTTTACATCATAAATCATTCTAATCTTTCTAAAACACTAATGACCTTCAATTGTTCCATTTCCAGGTATCACATTTTTGCATTTTAATTTGTCTTGTTAAATATCAAATAACAAAATAATTATAATCAATTATTTCTGAAGTTAAAAATACAAAAAAAAAGAATGTATATATCAGTTTGACGTGTAATAATAAGTAATCATATTATAATTAATATTGTGTTATTTTAATATTACTATTATCATTATTAATGTACATGTTTCAGATGAAAGACTCCCAAGAAGTGCAGTATTAGCTGCAAGGGAAATAACTTCATCACCTTCCTGCAGTTACATGGCACATGAAAAACTCTCATATGCGTTTAGTGTTTGGCGTATGGAAGGTGACTGGAATACTAATTCATAATTAAGTACCTGCTATATATATTTATGTATATTTGTATATATACATACATACATACATACATACATACATATATATATAAATTTAATAATATATTCAATAAATTCATAATTTATTTATGCATATTTTACAGTTTGGCCAATAAATCCGTGTGATTTTTTTTCTTT